TTTTTTTTTTCATATCGTACTTATCAAGAAAGTTTTCGTGATTCTTTGTTGTGGAAACATATAGGCATCCCTACCCGCCGTTCAACATACACTACAGGTATCGCTTTCACGCGCCCCATCACGATACGTACGAAGTGTCTTGGGTGTCCTTTACCACCGAAAAGTTGGAAACGTACAACTGGAACTACTTGGACCACTACATTTGTACGAGAGGGGACACGGATCTCGTATTGGTCGAGGTGAATTTTGTGTTTACCAAGTACATACGCACCGACAACACTTTGCCAAATGCCATCTCTAATTGCAAATGTTTCCTTCCCGTGTCGGACACAAGGCTCTCAAATACTGGAGGTTCCGTGTGTTCCTCGTACCACTGCCAAATCAGGCGACGCGCAAAATACTGGATGGCTCCAGCCACTGTGACATTTACGCTCCGTCGACCTCGGCCGAGCAGACCTCGTTGATGGATGGTTTTTTGCGATTCATCGAGGGTTGGCTCAACAAGATTCGTCGACCCCAACCAAACAAGAACTGGGTATTTCAACAATCGCTATGCACTTGTCTTCTACCTCTGCTCTCTATCTTGCTCTGATATTTATTTATTTATTTATTTATTTATTTATTTAACCAAAGCACACACTGAGCATAGTTTTTTTTTTATTACCATCCTGCGATCGTTGATTTGAGTTTTTTCAACAACATCAGCAAAGCAATGCCGTTACATTAATCGCACTTGAGTATATCAAGCTAAAAATGCATGGAGACATAATCCGATGAGACGCTAATAACAAAGATCCACTCTTCTTATATTGCTCATTTTAGAAATCCCCCGATTACAAAGCTATTAGTTGACCGTTTACACGATTTCTAATGATTTTTTCTGTTTTTTATTTCATTGTTAGTAGTGTTTTTTTTCTCTCTCTCTCTCTCTCTCTCTCTAACATCACTTTATTTACGCATCCACTCATTAATCATAATATGAAGAGAAAGTCTAATACTTACGGGCTTACGTGGAATCCTGTGCACCGATTAATTGCACAAATAAAATTAATAAAAAAAGAACATTAACTCTTTGCTCAGTTAAAAGTAACCTTGTTTTTACAATTGTTTTTCCGAAAAAAAAAAAAAAGTATTGATTAATAAACATCCTAAAGAGTTAAGGTTTTTTTTTTTCGTGGGAAGTACGCGAAAAGGCCGATGTAAAAAAAAAAAAAAAAAAAACGCATCACTGATCGGTACGAATGATCGGCTAAAGTAACTTGGTCCTAAAACAAGCAAAAGGTCCAGAGTACCAGAATGATGTGTTTCAGAGCCCAACAGCTCTTGGTGGGGTACTCCCAAGAGATCCTGCATCCCATCTGATAAGACGTAGGCACAGCACGAGTTTGGTATCCCTCACTAACCAGCAGGTATTTTTCTCGCTCTGATCCATCATCAACGCCCCATATACTTATTAATTCACTGTCACACAGTATTAATTGGAATTTTTGTTTTCTCATTTTTTTTTTCTTTCTCTCTTTATTATAACCCTTTTTTCATAGTTATTATTATCATTGACTATTTTTTGCTTGCTGAAGTTTTTGCGTCCCATTTAAAAAAAAAAAAAAAAAAAAAAAGATTTTTTTCATCTCATGATTCATACAGCTGACTTTGAGTATGTTTTCGTGCTACTTTATTTCATTTGCTTTACAATAGTTTTTTAGGGTATTGAATGTAACGCATCTGCGATATTGTAAACTTGCCCGGTTACTAAAAATTTTACCTTTACAGCAGTAATAAATCGTCCCAATTTTGCAATTGGTACATAATAACTTGATGAAAATGGAACATCAAATTTATTATTACTGTTATTTATTTATTTTTTCATTATTTTTATACCAAAAGTAAAAATAATTTTCGAAGAGAAACAACAATTAATCTAAAAACTCTGGATTTCGAGCTCAAACTAAATTAAAAACCACTGAATTTGTATTTCCATGCTGTGGTTGGTTACTGTTGGAAAATGTTTACGTCGCTGGATGATGAAATCAATACGTGTTCGATGTTACCACTGTGATGTATCCATAAAACAGCGATCATAGGTTAGCGAAGTATAAGTACACACTCTTAGTAACTATTAGTATATCAAGAGGATCTCATTTTCCTGTCGGTTATCTGTTTGTTTGTTTGTTTTTTTTGTCTCACCTCCAAAACTTGTTGGGTTGTAAAAACAATGCTTCTTTCCATAGCTTTTACCGAATCAACGCTCGCTGTGAAGTTTAATCGGTCAATTTTCATCAACTTGTAATTTTCTTTTTTATTAAATGACATGTATGGCACCCTCGATGATAATATACGAACATGTTTATGTTCACGTTGTTAAATGACCAATGATTCTTCACTCGAGTGTATAGTGTATATTATATCCATTAAATGTATCATCTTAGAATTAACGAGTAAAGCGCTTAGCAAAGTCGCATGAGTAAAAATCACTCGAGCTTCGTCGCAATACCCTGATGTGCTTTATTTATCATCGTTGTATGTTGTACATACGTGCTTTCACAGCTCCCTTGCACCACCATACCCTCGCATGAAAGAGAAAAACTCCCATACTTACACCCTCCCCGCACAGTATAGCACACCGAAGTTTTCCTTGTACAGCACATGTATATAATATATACCGTTACAATGTAATGTATATGGATGAGCGATGTAAAACTCTTGAATCATCTCTGTGCCCCGCGCGTACATCATCCGTGTACAACTGTGACAGGCGTGGACTGGAAATCGTTGACCATCCCAGCTTGTCTGCCCATCACGACCGATTACTTCCCGGACAAGCGTAGCCTGCAAAACGACTACGTAGTCTCGGACTACGATCTGCTACCCGACGACGTCAACGCGGACTACGCCCAGCAGCGAGCCATCTACAGGAAGCCCCTTACCACCCCCGAGGTCTTCAAAGAACTCGTTTCTCAGCGGCTCGCACAGGTGCGCGTCCAACTCACGCAATTATATCATAAACATTTTATAACCGAGGGAAAAAGAACAACAACAAAATAAAAGAAATAATAAATTGTTTACCCTCGATTTGCCCGTCAAAAGGGATTCCAGTTGATAATCCTGCCACCGAGTAAAAATCGAATAGCGACGCCGGGCTCGGGCTCGGCGCCGCCGATAAGTTCGATCATGCGGGCCGGTCGGCAGGCTGATTCGGAGCACAAGGAGGAGTACTTGCTGAGCATCGGCAGGATGTTTCACAAAATATCGCTGCGCGGCAATTCGATCAGCGTTACCAGATATAGGCCGAGGTAATTTTTTTT